GACATGCTAGTGAGGGGCAAGAAAGAGAACAGATTGAAGGCAAATGTTAATTGCAGGAGTGGACTAGTGTCTTAAGGTGCAGCTAGATGGATGTCCATGTTGTGCCCAGCTGTGGAGGAGGCAGCTCTAATTCAAACCAGTGGAGAGTGAAGGGATGCAGGCTGAGAATGGTGCTGTGGACTAGGATGGACAGAAGAGTAAGCCATATGTATAAATGGTGTGTGGGCTGCTGGCATGGAGTTTTGTAAGAACTGAAACAGACTGGAGGCTTGATGCTGGGTGAATAAGAGATGAAGACAGTTCTGAACCTTGAATAGAGGAGGTAGGTTTATAAGATGGTAAATGCTGAGGATCTTAGGTATTTGAAAAGAAAAAGTGGACAAGTGCATTGTATTCACAAAAAATTCCATAAGGGGTGAAACAATGTTGTTAAAATAGGAAACAGAATGAAAAGAATGGTTTCTGGAAATAGGCATAAATGTGGAATATTATACCAGGGCATTATAAGGAGCCACACACACTTAGACTTGTGTGAGGGATGACACTATCTCACTGAGGTGGTCTTCCATAGCTGGCCTGACTAAAGTATTCTTGTCCTATAAAATCCTATAACCAAATCAAAATAAATCATAATATTTATCATAATTGCAATTATAATTACATTATTACTTTGATCATTATAATGTGAATTATAGAACTAGAAATAGAACAGTTACACCAACTTTAGATTTATTATTTGTATATTTGCTCCATGAAACAAAGAACCTTGCACCCGACATGAGACACAATCTCACTACCCTGAGATTATGAGTCTCATGGTCTACCAAGTGAGCTAGTTGGGACACGATGGTTACAAGGATGCTATAATGGCCAGGCAGCTGCAAATGAAATGCAGTTTTTTTCTTTCTTTTTAAATGTCTTGTGAAATAATTAATCGTGTCCTCTTTCAGAGATGTTTGTACAGTAATATGAAAAAGAAAGTACACCCTCTTTTAAAAAAATTAAATGGTTTTACATATCAGGGTATAAATAACATCGCATATAATATCGTCTGGTCCTCACCAACTTTTATAATTAGACAAATCTAGAATCAGATAACAGAGAACTTCATAACAGATTTCACTATGTCATTATTTATTCAACAAAAAGTAAGCCAAAATGCAGAAACCATGTGGGAAAAAATAAGTACACCCTTATTGCTTCCATAGGACTTAAGAAGGTAATTAGCAGCCAAAGCAATTGTTGATGCTCATCAATCTAGGAAGGGTTTTAAGGCCATTTCCAAACAATTTGAAATTCATCATTCTACAGTGAGAAGGATTGTTTACAAATGGAGAACATTCAAGACAGTTGCCAATCTTCCCAGGAGTGGGTGTCCCAGCAAATTCACCCCAAGGTCAGACTGTATAATGCTCAGAGAAATCACAAAGAACCCAAGAGTTACATCTAGGGATCTACAGCCCTTGGTTAACATGTTAAATGTTAAAGTTAATGACAGTACGATCAGAAAAAGACTGAACAAGTATGGCTTTCATGGAAGTTTAGCCAGGAGAAAGCTCCTTCTCTCCAAAAAGAACCATGGCTTAGATTTGCAAAGTTGCATCTGAACAAACCACAAGATTTCTGGAACAATGTACTTTGGACAGACGAGATCAAAGTGAGGATGTTTGGTCATTATGCACAGTGCCATGTTTGGCGAAAACCAAACACAGCGTCTCACCACCAGCACCTCATACGAACTGTCAAGTACGGTGGTGGAGGGGTGATGATTTGGGCTTGTTTTGCAGCACAGGACCTTGGCACTTTGCAGTCATCGAGTCGACCATGAGCACCTCTTTATGCCAAATTAATCTAGAGACAAT